GCTTCCACACGGAAGCCACGCAGGCCAACGACAGGAAACTAACCCCATGTAACTTTTGTCCAGATCCACACTGTGACTTTCAATGTGATGTCCTGTCACATGGTAGTTGCCCCTTCTGTCCCTAGATGTCTGTTTTACCACTGCCTGTAGGAACCTCTGCTTATCCAACTGAAAACGGTATTCTGCCATTAGTTTGCTTACGGTGTTAAAAGATAAATTTACTTTTACATTTTGAACGCAAAGAAAAAATTATTTAATTGTTGCCATTTTGGTAGATAGTTTCTCAGTTTTCACATAGTTGTAATTAGACTATGTCTATACTTTCTATACCCTGATTTTTTATTCCATATTATATTGTAATCATTTTACCACAATGCTTTATAAAATGAATATTCCTTTATAATGGTGTTGTAGTGGTTGCCTACAATTTAGTTAAGTGGATAAAACATAATTGACAGTCATTTTCCTATTGTGAGACCTTTAATCACAAGACCTCTCTACCCCTAATCCCAGCTTTTTGATATTTTAAACTACAGTTACTATCTCCACTTTTTTTTAGTGTCCTTCATATCTTGCATAATTCTTTACTATAATGTTTAAGAGTGGGCTCCTTAGTGAGGAGGACAGGGTTAACTGGACACATCTGGGGTGCTTAAACAATGCACATTCCCAAGAAAGGGCTGTTTTCCTCACTGGCCCTGGGCTGGCTCCTAGGAACTGAGCCCTTGGAATATTTTGACTGATAAGAGTGTTTTGCATGCCTGGGGTCTTGAGCCACACTGTACCAGTTTTCCCAGATAATTTACACCAACAACCTGATTTACGGCAAACGCCTGCTTTCCCTCCGTAGGTTGGAGCTTCAGTAAGTGAGGTCAGTCATGCAGGCACTCTACACGTACCTGACAGGAGCCCAGTGAAAACCCTGGAAAACCAGGCTCAGGTAAGCTCAGGTTGACAACACTTTGCATGTGTTGTCGTACACCGTGGCTGGAGGAAATTAAGCACACGTGTGACCCAACGAGAGGGGACTCTTGGAAGCCTGTGCCTGGTTTCCTCCAGACTTTGCTCTATGCACAATTACATGAGTCCATTGAGCGAATCATCAAGCCTGAGGGTGGTCGTGGAGACCCCTGACACACCTGCTACCCTGATTGGCATTCAGTTGCAGATAATGAAAACTACTCTAGCTGGTTTAAAAAAAAAGTATTATCATGTATTCTGTAGTTTCCAGAATTGCTGGAATGGCTAAAAAAATTAGATGGAGCTTCCAGGAAGTATTTCTAGTGCCAGCATTTCACTACTTCTGCCAGAATAAGAAGCCACCAAAGCAAGCAGCTGCTTGCTGTAAAAATCACATTGCCTTAGCTATGATCCGTGCCAGCAAAATGGGTGCCTCGCTGCCCTCCAAACTCAGTTCTGAGTCCAGGTATCTGAGTGAAGAACCTAAATCGTATCTGGACTTGTAGCTGCAGAGGCATCTGTAAATGTAGTATTTAGCTTTTACAGTGCTTGAAGACACAAGCAGGAAATTAGAATTCATGCTGAGTGAGCCAATCACAGAGTCTAACACATTGTGTTAAAGGATATGAACATTTTAGTGTTTCTTGATACACACTGCCAAAAAACATTTCCAAAAGGTTGGAAAAATTCACAGTGGCAATGGCAGTAATGAGGGTCCAGTTTTCCAATACTGTAAAGTTTTCTAATAAGGGAAAGGCAATCTCACTGGACAGAAACGAACACTGAGTAATCAGGGGCAGCTAATTATCCGTGTGTTCTCTCTTTCTCTCTTTTCTCTGAAAAAAACAGATTCCTATAGATTGTGGTTAGGGGTAATCCCCTGCTTGAAAGCTGGAGATTATAAATCAACTAGTCTATGAGAGTGACTTCAGGGAAAAAAAAAGCAAAGCAAGGCACTCATTTGTCTAGTGCCGGGCTAGGCAATTTTGGTTATTATTGAAAATTACTGAATAAAATACGTGAAAGGCTTATTTTACTTTTATAAGTCTCTTAACTTACACTTTATTCTTCTCACAGTTAATGGAAATGTCAGGTTTCTCAGCTCGGTCCCCTGCAGGCCTGCATCTCTTCCGTCTCTCCTAAATAACTGCCACCAGCTGCCTTAGAAATAGGGATTTGGGTCTGGACCCAGCTGTTTTGACCTGTGAGGTTGAGGCTGTTGCTCGAGACCTTTAGCTGTTGGAGGATGTAACATCTCATCCAGCTGTGCAGGAAAATAATAAAACTATGATGGAGATGTTTACATAAACAAAGGATGGCATATATAACAATGACATAAACTTCCTAATTCCTCACAGGAACTTACAACTTTGCAATTACTGAATCTTGGAACCCTGTGGTAAAT